GTTAATCGGTTTGATTCCACAGTAATCGGTTGTTTCCGCTTGGCCGTACCCTCTGTAGCTCTTGTGACCTTGGACTGTGCTTAGAGGTGAAGCGGCGAAACTTGAGCTGTAGTGGTAGGAGCCAGGGAATGTTTCTTGCAACTCGAGTAGAACTTAGTACCCTTGTTCGATTTCAGTAAGGTTTTAAAATCTAATCAGTAATTTTGGTCTATGCTGAGCACTAAATAGGGACTTGGTAATAAAGTAAGGTTCCTTGAGCTGCGAAGTGATGTAACTGAGGGTTTATGTACTGGTGATAAGATACGCCCTAGAACAACAGGCGTAGTTACACCCTAGAGTAGAGTAACCTTTGTAGCTACAAAATGGCCGCCCCTAGAGGGACAGCCATTTTAATTATTAATAGCTGAACAGCTGTTACAGCCTTTACCCCCCGGTATCATTAGCTGTATTTTTCCACTAGTTATTTAGAATGTTTTTAGTATCGGCTTGCTGTATAAGCTGCTGGGATCTGTGGGGTTTTCTGCGGATTTTTTTAATGCAATACTGCCAAGATCATGAAGTGACTGTTTTGTAGCTTGAAAGTACTTTGGGTTTTTTTTCCCTCCTTGTTGGAGGAAAACAATAAAACTTAACCACCGTGGAACTGCAGAAGAAATCTCAGTTTGTACTGATCTGGAAGGCAAATGGTTATTTTGCATTGTAGATGCAGTAGGCTGAGTTTAGGATAGACTGAAGATAAAATACCTTGAAAGCTCTGTTTGGAGGAGAAAAAATAAGGAGTTAACTGGAATCTTTTTCACAAAAGGTGTGGTTACCTAGTAAACAAAGGTTATTAAACTTCAAAACCCCCTTTAAAATCCCACACAGAATTACTCATGGTTTAAGCTGAAGCCTTTTGGAATTTCATACAGAAGACTGACTATAGGAGAGGACAAATTGAGATTTAAAACTCATGTGCAAAAGATGCTGACCAACTAGATGAGCACTGTTGGTTTGCTTTAATTACTCTTTGAGTTTTTGTCTCTTTGTCATAATGTTTGTTGCTGCTGTATAAATGACTTGGTACATACAAGTCATAAACTTCCTCTTCCCCACCCACCACAGGAACCGAGACTGGGTATTGCAGAACAACAGTGAAAACAGAAGCAGCTCCTGGAAGCACCCATGTGGAGAAAACAGCCGTTGGGAAAACTGAGGACATGACAAACTTCATGGACGACTTAACCCTCAGCTCACCGAAGAAAAGGGAGTCATCTGTGAGATCCAAGAGAAGCTGTGACAGGTCATCCACGAGGTCATCCAGCAGATCCTCGTGCAGTTCACGGTCCAGTTCAAGCAGCTCCTCTTCAGCTTCCTCAAGGAGCTGGAGCCGGTCCAGGTCCAGGTCCAGGTCGCGGGCTAGAAGGAACGGTTCCCGCAGGTACAGGCGGTACTCCCGCTCCTACTCCAGGAGCAGGTCCAGGTCCCGTGGCTACAGGAGGTACCCAGGCAGGTACTATGCCAGGCACTACAGGAGGTACCACCGCTCCCCGCCGAGGTACCGCTCCCGCAGCCGCTCCTGGTCCCGCGGAAGGTCCTACTACAGAAGGTCCTATTCGAGGAGCAGATCACGGTCGAGAGGCCGAAGATACTACGGGTTTGGGAGAACCATCTATCGTGAGGCTTACAGGAGCTGGAGAAGCAGGTCACGGACGAGATCTCGGAGCAGGTCGCCTCTCCATTTGAGTGAAAAAGGTAATTTTGGGGGGACACTTGTGTGAGAACCTCAAAGCGTGCAGTTATTTTAACCAGATTCTCATGTGTTCGTTTGCTTTATAGAGTGTGATAATGGCAGTGTAGGAGAAAACAGCTGCATGTTTATAAAGGTACCTAAAAAATGCAGTTGAGAGCATATTCTTTTGCACTTCAACTGCAGCTAAATTTGCCAAGTTCAGATGAAAAGGGATCACAGCTGATGCTTACATGAGTGCAGTGATAGTAAGCCTGCAGGTTTAGGCTTGTATTAGTAGGTACACGTTGTTCAGAACTCAGGAGAGTTTGGGGTTTTTTCGTCTTTCAGACAAACGGGAACTGCTGGAAATTGCAAAAGCCAATGCTGCAAAAGCTCTGGGAACAGATAACATTGTCTTGCCAGCAAGCTTGAAGATCCTTTCTCCTCCCAAAGAGATAAAAAATGAAAAACCAGAGCGTGAAGGTGCTGGAGAGTCAGCTGAGGTAAGTATGAACTGGAGTATTCTCAAAGAAAAGGTAAACACTTCTTAAAAGTTGTTGTCTGCATGGATGTGTTCTAGTTCCTAAACTGGACTTTGTGATTATGAATTCAAACCCTTGAACAAAATAGTCAGGTTTACCAGAGTGCTAAAATCTACTCTAGAAACCACCGTAGACTTTGGTGTTAAGGTGAAAGCACTGTGGGCTCCTGAGAGGTGGTTCATCCACCGGGTCTGTGCAGGCTTTGCAGAAGGAGAGCTGAATGTAGCTTGTTCTTTTGAGTTGTTCTCCTCGTAGGATGCTGCCTGCTATGTAGACTAGTTAATGTGTTTCTGGCCTGAAACAGGAGTCTCTTTACCAAACCTAGTGAGTAGTGTGGGCTTTTTTTTTTTTTAAGGTTAAATCTTTCTACCTTTTTTTAACTGTGAAAAGCTTTTCATGTGCAACAAACTGTTTCCCAGAAGTTACATACCCAAACACCCAATGCATTTTACATACTTTATTTCTGTCTTATAGAAATCATGACTATGGTTCCAGACATGAGGAAGAAAATCTGTTGGTAATTAAGGGACTTGTGGGTGATAGCTGCTGTGCATTTAAGGGAGGGAGAAACTTGAGCAGCTTAAAATGAATCCGAGTTTGGCTCTGTTGTTACAGCATGTTAACCTGATTCGTGGTAAATACAAAGCTGCAGTATCTGTTACATCAAACAGATGCTATTTCAAATGGAAGTAAATTTACTAGGGGTTTTAGACAAATGGTACAGGCATCCCTTTCATAATATATGCAATATATTCCAGATGTTGAGAGAGTACAGAAGAAGAGGCCTGCATCACTAGCAGATAAGTTTATTGTCCTTATCCAAAGCTATGCAGGATGGATGTGCAGAACTCCTTATGTGACTTGCTCCACCACTGCATTTGTTGTGGGGCAGTCTGTGCTTTGATCATGTGAATTGTGCCAAAAGCCATAACTGGGGCATGGCTGTCAGGTCCCGTGTGAATGGGACAGTGATGAGCATAAAAACACTGAATGCTCTTCAGAGTCAGCTTGACATTGATCTGTTTGTGAATTCAGTAGCTTACAGCTACTTCTGATGTAAATACCTGAAACAGCTTCTACCAGACAGTTCTTACTCTGTAGTGACAGCCTTAACTTGCACAGGATGATGTGTCCTCCCACTTAAGCTGCCTGTGCTCTTCTCTAGCAACCCAGAGGACTGGCAGAGGACGTGACCAAGAGCGCAGTGGAGCGAGCAGCTGTGCAGAGGAGCATTTCTTTCAGCCCTAACGTAAGTGTGACTTCCACAGTGAGTTGTAGGACTTCAGCCCTCCTGTGTTGGCCTTTCCCCAGCACTGACTGCCAGATCAGAGATCTTACCAATAGTAACAAGTTGAATTTAATGGTTTGATAATGACTTTCCTGGAGGAGGGAGATGTGTACTTGAGCAGTGGAGCATTGCAAGCACACTGCAGCAGTGTGTTGAAAGTCATAGAATCATTTTGGTTGGAAAAGACCTTTATACTCAAGAGTCTAGCTGTTCCCCCAGCACTGCCAGGTCCCCACTGCCCCGTGTCCCTCACACCACATCTCCACAGCTTGGAAACCCCTCCAGGGATGGGGACTCCACTACTGGAGGAGCAGTTCCTTCTCTGAGGCTGTTGCCTTTTGTCTTGTCACTTCCTTGTTGGAAGGAGAGACCCAAGCCCTACAAAGCAAGAACTATGTACTGAATTCACAGGAAATAAGGAGATCGGTACCAAGTGCAGACTGGTCACATGCTTCTAATGCTGTACTGCAGACTCAAAAGTGTGTGCCAGAACTGGTTACACTGGAACTTGTTCAAGCTCCATATTTGGATCTATTTCATAACTCAGTACTAAGGAAAAAGCAACTCCCCTGAATCCCGTGTCTGTCAAACATACGAAGACATCTGTTACAGTACAGAAAAACCCCTAAAGTTGACAGGGCTTGGGAAGTTCCCTCTGCTGGCAGCATTTCTAAAGGGCATTTGTTTTTCCAGAATACAATGGCAAAGCCAGTGCTGCAGAAGCCAGTGCTGCAGAAGCCAGTGCTGCAGAAGCCAGCGAGCAGCGTTGTTAAAGAACCGGCAGTCCCTGTGGCAAGAGAAGAGGAGAGAAAGGGCAGTCCCTATGGGCAGTGGGTTCCTGTCAAGAAGGAGGAGAAGAAAACATTTCTAAATTTCTCACCCAAAAGTGCAGCCTTCCGGGCACGCTAGTTCTGCCCCTCCCACACTGGGCATACTTCAGTAGCGAGATTCGGGGTTTTCCGATCGCGTTGAAGACTTTTTGTTAATACTGAGTATTTATTTTCAGATCTTTAATTTTGGAGTCTTAGGTTTCTCTTTCAGATCTAGAGCACAGTGATCCAGAAGCCACAGATGGGAATCTTGTGTCTATTTGTAAATATTTTGTATTGCTTTAATGGACTAGACCTTACAGGTGGGTAACCTTTTCTAAACCATAGTTGAGTAGCTGTTATTTTGAACACTTGATTGACATTGTGTAACTGTTTACTTAAGTAAATAAAGTTTAGTTTTGCACTGGCCTCTCTGTGTCAAGTATCAAACGTGTGTTGGGTGAGAAGCTGGCTGTGAGTGGCTGTTGCCCAGGTTTCACTTGCTCTTAACTCACTGTTACCCCAAAGTGCAGCAGGAAGGTAATTCTGGCACAGTTTTGGAAGTGGAGCTTTACCTCAGTCATTCTGTCCAGGGTATGCCTAGTTCAGGACCTCCAAAATAATAAATGGCTAGTAAAATAAACTCATCTTGGCAATTGTAAGTTTCTGCAGGCTGATGATGTACCAAGGAGTGTGTGTGTGTTGTGGGAAGAAAGCGAATGCTGGAACAGGTCCCTGTCCTTGGGAGGAAGGAGAGGCAGTGCTGGTGTTGGGGTGGGCGGCCAGCCTGGGGAACACAACGGGCAGCTGGGGTGGCCTCTTGGTCACAGAGAGGTCACTTGTTCCTGAGCATCTTCTAAACAACTGGTTTTGGGAACCTGGTGACCAGTCTGAAGAACAAAGCCAGGCTCTACTCTGAGGTTTATTTAGAACAGGAAATTGCACAAGCTGGTTGCTCTGCCAGTAAAAGCTCTACAGGGCTGAAGCTGTTCCACAAATTCCACCTATTACATTAAATACACTGCTGACTTCACAAACAACGACATTACAAAGGATTTTTTGATACAACTTCAAATTGTCTGCAAGCCAGGCAAGGTTAAGAGAGGCAGCAGGGCTGCCAGGCGTGCCCCCGGGGTGCTGCCTCAGACGGCCGTGCCCCTCTCCAGGTTCTGCTTGATCTCGGCCGTGTACTTGCCGTAGAACCTCTCTGCCTTCTTGTTGAACTTGGCGTTCCTCTCGTTGATGTAGTCGATGTCGGCGTCGTCGTTGTAGGGGCGCCGGCGGCTGTACTTGTCCCGCTTCTCGATCCTGCGGGGCAGGGGGCGGGGTCTGAGGGGCTGGGGGTGGAGCCCGGGGCTTTGCTTCCCCAGAGCTGCTCTCAGGGGGTTTCTGAGCGTATCTCAACGTGTACTTACTGCTTCTCGAGATCGGCCACCATCCTGTCGACCCCCTCCTTGGATGGCACGTGAGTCCCGTGGAGGAGGCTGTCAGATGTGGGGTACAGAGCCTCACCGCTGGGGAAGAGCAACAGGCAGCAGGTGACACAGGGGAACCACCTCTGTCCCACCACAGCAACCTGCTGAAATCCTAAACCCCCCTCACTGCAAACCTGGCAAATTCTTAAACTGCCAGACTTCTTAAAAAAACCCACACCCTCTGAGAAACGACTCCTCTGCTCACCCATTTAAACACAACACAACTGATAGAATATTTCTCCAGATTCAGTAATTCCA